TAGAATTATATATATATATATATATATATATATATATATATATATAATTCTACAAAGTCTCGAGCCAACGATTTAAAACAACAGCGAAAGTCGAAGGTTGTGTGAATTTGAATAGTGAAACGTATTGCATAATTTATTCCCAACAACCAGGTATGTAACGAAGAACTTTTTATTGTTAACAGTGCTGGTAGGTGACCAACGACCTTTCCTCGGCCCGGTGCAGCCGATCAGTCACGGAAGTCAATCGACGGATGGATGGTTCAAGACTGCCACGATAGCTGTACCGATTTGCGGCCTGTTCGTTCTACTGATACTGGCCAGTCTTGCCATTAGATTACTGCAGCCTGTGCCGACGCAAAGCGACAAACTCGGACCACATCGGATGCCCGGCAATGGGCCGCCGTTATTAGGACCACCGAAAGTGCCTCTTGTTTAATTATCTTGCAATCCCAAAGACGTTCGATAAAGTGTTCTAGCGGATAGACAGTCAGTAAGACTAACTAAAAAGCTAGCGGGCTTCTATAGCTCCACTTGGCTGTGAATTTTGTGAAAAAAAAAGCGACTGCTGTAAATTATAACATTGCGTGTTGTGCATCGATAGCTGCAAATTCCTCTGAACGACAATCTTGAATGATCGTCGTATGATTGAAGAGTGAGAAAGGGCCCATGAAACAGGGCCTTTGTACATGACGTTAATTAAAAGAAGAAAAACAAAAAAAAAAGAGAAAAAAATAAAACGCATGATATGTTTATTTGTAGCATTGTAAATAGATTATGTATTTTGTATCGTATATTAAATGATATTCGCTTGTTTAGGCGGTGTACAAATTTTAATTGTAATCGCGTTTTACGATATCGTCAGACTTCGATGTTGTTCGATGGATCTAGCCACAAAATCATAGTAATGTTATAATATAATCTCCAGCGATATACACACAAACCAGCAGTACGGAGAATCGTGTTTTTTCCATCGAAAAATAATGTCGATGGAAAATGAAGAGCGCTAAGAAGTCTGATATCTGTTTTTTTGTTTTTTTTTTTTTAAATCGTATAAGATACTTTTTTTTCCGGAAATCAGTTATTCTGGTACATCGTGTACTCCTCACATAATAATCATATTCCATATAAATATTATTATATTGTGATAGTATGACATAACTGTATGATAATTATATTATTAAATATGTACCACGACTTTGTTTTACAACGTGTCATTCATGAGGGATAAATCGATACGAAAATCGACTTAAAATATATTGAAATAATTTTTCAGTAATCGGTGTCTGTTTATTTTCCTTCTTTTATCAATTACATACACATACCATATCGATACCCGATATATAGGAAGGGTATGTCATTATTCCATAAAATAGGTAATCTATTAGCTCAGAAAATTTGTCTCGTTTCGTTTCGAAATAGTAACCATAAAACGTTAGTATAATATAAATGTTTTGGCATCACAGTTTAAAATCGTACAATTTTCATATTCCTAGTTTCATTCCCTTTACAATTTCCACTTGTTTTCATACCTTGTTGCTCATTCATGATCCATTTTACTCTTTTTCTTAAGAAAAAAAGTGTATTAGCTTATAAAAATACTGTTTAAGGTATGTATCTTTATTTGTATCTATGATTTGATCTTCCCAAAAATTGGGCTGCCAGTCAAGTTCAATTGAAATTCGAGCAAGACATTGTGTTCCATCTATGTTTAGGAAACATAGAGATACTAGGTTTCGCTCGATACTATGAAATCAGTCGGCCGTCACAACCCGCATGACGGGTTTCAACCATACCAGTTAACAAAGTCATAGTTCTAGGATAGTATTTCACCAAATGATTTAACGTAAGCTTCGTGAAGTTTGTTGATAAAATCCGGGTCACTCTTCAACAAATAATTAAAAGCTCGAAGAAACTGATTTTTTGTCAATGGCTCTAATGGTTTAGTTAAAGGTTCGGGTGGACTAGGAGCAGCGAACATAACAGGAGGAATTAATGTCGGTGCTGATCCTCTTCCTGATAGAGTGGGGGCCGTAATATCTTCTGATGCCTAATTGAATTAAAACAAACGTTTCAATTCTCACATACTTTGAAAGTATAAATAGGTATACACCTAATGCGAATTGATACACGTCCACTTACCGTTGTCGCAGATGCATGAGCAAACAAAGATGCAAGTGGATTTGAACTGCTAGAGCTGATAATATCTGATGCTTGATGATTTGTCGAAGTAGAAGTTGATGCATTTGTAGGTGATTGTATCCTAAGAAATCCTATTGTTCCATTTGTATCGGTAGTATTTTGATTCATAGGTGTTAGGGCTTCCAGAGTTAAAGATGGAGGCGTAGGTAACATTGAATCTTGCTGAGACACAGATCTGCTTTGTTTTTTTGTTCTGTTTAAAGATGTAGTATTACTAGCACTGTTAGCAGTCAATATAGCAGTTGGAGTTGTTTGAGATTGTTGTTGAGTAGCTGGCTGAGGGGTTATAGATCTATGTTGTTTTTCAATATGTTCAAGTGTGTGAGCTGCTGGGTGTGACATTAATCGAGCAAGCAAAGGTTTACTTTCATTTGTGACAGTACCCCCCGGAGTAGGCTGATCTGCAGCCTTGAAATGTCCAGTATTAACCTAAAAAGATCGTAAAAACTAACATACTTTCAGTTCCTAATTTAAAAACACTAGATATAGTTAATCACGTAATACTAACTTTTGCTTTTGCAAAAAAATCCATTACACTCTGTGAAGTAACATCTGGACCTAATGGTGCAGCTAGTGGTCCAGATACATCATCTGTTGTAGGAGTACCTATTGGAGATTTAGTACTAAATCTTTCTCTGATACCACCTCCACTACTACTATTATTTCTATTGATATTAAAGTCCTCTTGAGCTTTACTAAGCATACTAAATATATCAACATTGTTCATGTTAGGGCCAGAATCCTTTTTTACATTAACAGCAGGTTTATTGTAAGTTTTGCGGTTCTCTTCTGATTCTTTAATAAGCTTATTCAACATTGCACCAATTCGTACACATTCCTCTTTATCATAAAACCAAATGCCATAAATGTTGCATCTGGAATTTCTATATAGTAAAAAAGGCTCTTGAAGTTGTAAGTCCAAACCTTGTGTAACTGGTTCTACTAGATTATTTGTATTTAATCTGCAAAAATATTATTGTAGCATGAAGTAATAGGGTTATTTATGACTTATGATTTCATTAGTTGTATGCAACTTGCATAGAACTCTCTTAATATATCATATTTTATATATAACCTATAACAAGATTGCTAAATTTTACTATTACATAGATATAATACTTCAGATATAAAAAATATAAAACTTCAGATATAAAACAAGAGATACATAATTAAATAATATACATTAATTTACCTCACTAATGAAAAACTAAAGAATAATTTTTCTAATATAATATATAGTATAATAAAGTGAATATTAAAGTAGTTAACATTTAAAGTAGTTTAACATATTTCTTCAAATATAAATTTTAACTTTACTAAACATATTAACAAATAATATAAATATATGTATATATATATTTTATTATTCACACGCTTGATATTTTTAAAATATTTAAAAAATACAAAAAAAACGTTTACAATGCAAATATGCATATGCATGCATATATGTATACATGCGTATATATGTTACCTATTCATGATAAGAACACTGTTATAGGGCTCGCCACTTCGCGAATATACGAACAGAGCACCTTCAATATTAGTTTTTTCCCACTCATGATTAACTGCATTAAAAGTATAAAGTGCTACGTGTGTCGCAGTTTCCAGAATATCTTTTACATAGGGATCTACTCGTTTCAGAGCGGCCACGTTCATTCGTAACCCTGTTGGATCCGTCATCGTGCTTCTTACAGCTTGATGGTACAACTTGTAAAGTACAAGAATAATCGGTCTTTTTCTAATTCGATTGAAATTTAATTTAATATTTGTCTAAGCCAATCACTAAGAGCACAGTATTTTGATACAACGCAAGCAACTGCCTGTATAATAAACGTCATACTAGATTTTAAGGTTGATACCGTTGTTACATCTGTGAGTTAGTAACATCATAGAATGCCGTCGCTTCCTTTCCTTTTGCCTCAGTGTTTGTTTCTGATTGGTGAAAAATCTAACAATTTGATACGTTGAAATGAACGCTGAATTATAAAAGGTGGATCGAGCGACGGTTCATCCAATCGAATCGACAGAAATTTTGAATATACATGTTTTAACGTATATAATTACAAATTACAAGCCCCAGAGAAAGTTATTTTTAAGTTTTCACTTTTACGGTAAGTTCTATTAGTTCAAAAAGAGAATAATATAAAAACAGCAATAATACTTTTTTTTATAAATAATAATTTGTGTTGTTTAATTAATAATAGAATAAATTGACAATTTTCTAGTTGAGGTTGGTATTATTAATTCTTTAACTTATCTAGAAAATACATAGCAATAAAAAAACTAAATATTACGCGCCATCTTTGTAATAAAAAGCAAGAAAAAAAAACAGAACTAACACGTAGTTTATTTTTTGATTAAAAACGCAAACTGAATGCCATATTTTAATATGTCATATTTTAATATCAACTTAACATAGCAGATATTCATGTTTTCATCCTACAAAAGCAAAAGATAACACTTTACTCATTCTTGGTTATCTTAGCTACGAAAGAATTATATTCACTAATGTACGTACATATATGTGTATATATAATAGATATATATATACATATACATATATACATATATATATATATATAATGTACACACATTGAATACCGGCATTTTTTGTAACACGTAATTATAATTATTCGTACTTAATGTGAATCCTCCTCCACTTAAAAAAATAATGTTTTAAATTCAAAATTCGCCTCTAAACTTCCGAATAATCGATAAATTTCTTACTATCATATAATATTCTTCAATTTTCTATTCTTACTATCATATAATATTCTTCAATTGTATCGTACAACAATTTATGATCAATTTGTCTGTTACATGTTTTGATTTTCTCTTGTGTAGTAGACTCGCGGAAAATCTGACTGTAAATCATGTATGAATGCTCATAAAATAGAATTTTCAGAACATCATGCGCGCTAGCGTAGCGCATGGAAAAATTGGGTCGATCTGCGAAAGATGGCGGCTACTGCGTGGTGTGTGTGAAAAAGATTCGTGGATAGATTTTGTCTGTAATTTTTACTAAAACATGACAAGATATGGGAAAGCCTATTTGCACGTGTACGGCGCTACTATATGCGCAAGGTTCGTAATGTTGATGAATGTTCAGTTTTCATGTTTCCTATCCGAGTAAAAGACGTTTGTTTACGATAAAGTTTGTATAATACTTCAACGCGAAGTGTTACAAGGGATAAAGAAACCCTAACTCAGACGAGACTGGAGATTAAGTGTTGCCGGACTTCGGCCCGGTAAGAAGATCAGTAGAGATGCTGAAGCAATTGCAGATGGGGATGAGAGCTTTCCTCTTGATGGCCTCCCGAGTGTGGACATGCGTCTTCTTTCTCCTCAAGAAGCAGGTTAGAGCCGTAAGTAGGTGCTTCGCGCCTCTATCAGCATTTTTTGCCTTTACGATTTTTATAACACAACGTCTTTTCGATACTGTGTCAACTTCTCCATTAAATATGTTAATTCTCGTTTTTTCATTTGCAATTATTTTTTTGTCAATTCCAATAAATATTTATTATGATCAACTGCCACAATATAACATATTTATATGTTGATTATGGCAAAGTATCCCGTTTTGTTCAAAGTATTCCATGTGATTGAAAGTTCATTTTCCTTTGATATTGTTATCTTCTTCGTTTACTGTTAATGCCAAAACTTATGCAACAAGCTTGATTATCACTGTTTTCTGGAGGGATATTTGAAGATTTATAGTTTTGCTTATAGTATACCATGTCATTATTAATCAGCATTTTTGATATCATCAATTTTTTATCAATCATGTCAAATAATAACATCTATTATAAAGTAATAAAGTATTTTAATTTAAGGAATTTTTTTATTTTTACATGTGTAATATTCCATTATGTATAAGTATATTGTAATTAATTATTTTTGTTGCTTATTTATGTTGAAAATGAAAGTATTACTCTGTATATGTTAAATATTAAATGAATAATTCTTATTTTTGATATATTATTCTTATTCTTATTAATTAATATATTTTTTAGATATCACAAATGCAACCTGTTAAATATGAGATCTTCCCGTTATCTCCATTGTCAAGGCACAGACTTAGTAAGTATTGTTGATACTCTAGCAATTATGTTAAATGTACTGTTATAAGGTATTAGTGTTTATATATAACCAAAGTATATTACAGGTATAGTTAAAAGAAAAATATTAGTATTGGATTTAGATGAAACATTAATTCATTCTCATCATGATGGAGTGGCAAGGCCAACAGTTAGGTTTGGTACGCCACCAGATTTTATTCTTAAGGTGAAAATAGACAGACATCCAGTCAGATTTTTTGTCCACAAAAGACCACATGTAGATTTCTTTCTAGATATTGTTAGTCAATGGTAAGTTTAATTATCAGACAGTAACTTTTATTTATATTTCAATTGAGACTTTACCTATTATAAATGTTGATGTTTTCAATGTAACTTTCAATGTATAGTATCAAACATTATCCAAGATTAATTATTTTTTTCTTTTTTTAAATTATTTTTGCTTTTTTTAAGGTATGAACTAGTGGTTTTTACTGCTTCCATGGAAATTTATGGAGCAGCTGTTGCAGAAAAATTAGATAACAACAGAGGTATTTTAAGAAGAAGATACTATAGACAACATTGTACACCAGAAATGGGTTCCTATACTAAAGATCTGTCTGCAATTTGTTCAGACTTAGCTTCAGTCTTTATACTTGATAACAGTCCTGGAGCCTACAGGGCTTATCCTCGTAAGTATTAACAGCATGCATTCTCAATGCAATAATAATAATATTTGCTTTTATAATGTAGTTGTCTGATTTAACATGATTTCATAATTTTTTAATTTTTTTCATATATGTCGAAAATAATCATATATCATAAAACAGTTCAATGTTGTGTATGATACGACAATAATTGTCTACAAATTATTAAATTATTGCAATTCATACAAGAAACAAGTGAAAATATATATATTAACTTGTGTATATATTTACATATAGGATTATTTTTATATGTTTAATACCATTGTTGTATCATGTACTATGTATCCTGTAGTCAGAACTTGCTTACATGTGCACAACTATGTGTAGTGGAATAATTCAACCTTGATCTAAATTAAATATATTGAGTAAATATTTCCTGATCTCATTACTCAACAAATTTTAATCAAATTCATACAGAAATTATATTCATCAATAACATTCTACAAATACATTCTGATGTTCATGTGTTTTAATAATTAAAGATATATTTATTATTTAATGATTGTAATAATTAAAATTTTAAATATCTTCTTTCATCTCTTAAATACAGAATTGTTTTTGCAATATATTTATTTATGAATTTATATTGTCTATGCGGTCATATTGTTCAATATCAATTATTTAATCATTACTATTTTATCTTGCAAGATAAATAAAACATCAAATTATAATTTAAAGTATAATATTTAGTATGTTTTATAGAACCTGAATGACAAAAAATTTACATGCCCGTGTAATTTCAGTCCATTTATTATTGTTATGGTCGTTACTATAAATAAATGATACTGCATTCTTAACAGAAAAAACAGTGACATATTTTATGATTTTGTTTCGAATTGTTTAGATACTAGACTTACATTTTGTATAGTTTGACTGGGTAAACAAATAATGAAACCAAAGTTGAGACAAATTTTATTCAAAATCGTATCTATTTCCAGCTATCAGCGTTGATGTTCTGTAAGCAAGCATTGAATACAGGCCTATGGATAGATGTAAAATATGCTCAATTGTCAATGCTCCTCCACTTGAATAAGCACTGGACACTACGTCGAATTGGCAATGAACTAATTTCGACTGCTTTAATAATTTTTTTTAATAATTCCTGTATATCAGGTACTAGTCTAAAGATTAGATTTTATTTTTATTTTTATATGATGTTTTTTATCTGCAACATTCAAGAAAATCATATTCTATTCTAAACTTAGAGCCTGGGAGTAGTAGAATTAATTTTTACACAAAGAAAATATAATTTTCTTGAATGTTATATTGGACAACTATGATTTTATAATTGATATTTCGTTTTTAGATATTTTAGACTTAAAAATGTTATTCATGTGTTAAGTTTCTGTACCATTTTACACGTTTATTCCTTTCTTTCTGTTATCGCAGATAATGCAATACCAATAAAGTCATGGTTCAGCGACGCGGGAGATACTGCTCTATTAAGTTTACTTCCAGTTTTGGATGCACTTCGTTTCACACAAGACGTGCGATCCGTTCTTTCAAGGAATTTACATTTACATCATACTTGGTAGCATAGTTTGGATTAAGTAATAAATTAGATTTATTAGAGACCGAGCTACAAAACGTTTAGCGTGTTTAATCTAGAATTATTGTTATTGGTACTGTGTTAGTAGATATTAGGATGCTGACTAAATGATGAGATGATGATCCTTTGACACACCCTGTCCTCTTTTTCTACGCTCGTTAGAAAACAAAACCGAGTAAGTCTGAAAGGGAGTGGGACCTTCAACCAAACTATTTAAATTAGCACAAAGTATCTTGGTATTTTCGTTA